CTTGAGTCAGAGGGCAGAGGTACATTTCAAGAAAAGCCAGATCTTTTTCTATACCAAATTCTGTGGGGGGATTGTCGATGAAGCAAATTTGGATTTGCTATAGCAATAGACTAAATTACTTATTTTTCGTTTATAAGGCTTTAAAACTATCAATAGGTCATATATATCAGACGTATTCACCCAGTCCTTCAACAACTTAAAGGAAATAGGCTTATAATTAGATGCCAATTCTTTACGAAATACTCTTATAAACCAGATGCTATAAGGCTTCGATATAGCTTGACAACATTCGTATACTTAGCGGGATTCGAAGCGTGAATATTCAGGTTCATAGGAAAACAAATATCCTGAGCCAAAAAATTATATGGCACTTAGATCATACGACAAAAATGCTTTCAAAGAAAGACAGACATCCAGCCACATAACAGTTGGGTACGTATGAATCGATGAGAAACAACACATTCGCTAGTAAACTCAGCATTTACTGAAGTAGTTTAATTAGCTATTCAGTGGAGGTATATCAACAGTGAACAGATTCCTGATAGCCAGAAATTAGTAATCCAAAAGCACTGAGTTCTGTTGGAGAGAATACCTTGCTCAAACAGTGCTAGGATTAAGATAAAAGAGGTACGCACTTTGAAACTATCCGCGTAGCCGGCCATAATGCTGGTGATAATGCGAAACAATTTCTGGGCCCCAGGAGCCAAATAAAATCCGAGGCAACGGCCGTAAAAGAGATCCTGTCGAATCTGATCGGCCTGCGATAGTAGGAAGATCAACTCATCCAGAGCATTATCTTCGCCAATCGTGGAAGAAGTGGATGAATATGAGGATTGAAGCAGGCCGCTATGATTTGAGTCAGTCGTTTTGATATAAGAAGAGGCAACGTGAGGATAAGGCCGATGATTGTGAGACTTTGAGCTATGGGGGAGGCCAACCAATTCGGAGCGAGGGAAAAGACAACCAGGAGAAGCGGAGAATATCGGGATGTTTCGCATTAGTATGAGGCATTCGTAGAGTTCACATAAGCAATCCGAGTAAGCGATTACTGAGGCTTCCGTGGCACCGGAACTGAGAAGTAATGGATATAAATAGTGAAAAGGAGATTTTTTAAAATATAATAATCCCAAGCAAATAAATATTAAAATTGTGAATATGAGGAATAGCTGGATTTCCATTAATCTCTTAATATAATACTGTTGTGGAGACTTTCATTTCATGAGAGTGCATGATGAAGAGGTTCTTTGGTTGAGCTTATGACAGACATCATCAGAGCTGAAACTCATTCTTGCTAAAGTCTCAAGTTAACACTAAGTCAAAAGATTCTCGGTAATCGAGCTTTTCTTCCTAATCTAAATGCACAGAGCCCTCAAATGAAAACAATGAGTTAGCCTAAAAATTAATCCCAGGTATTATGACAATATCCATTGAAGCTGTAAACTTATAATTATGGTGACCTCGGACAACTTTGCATATTACACTAGTCATTAAATAGAAATTAATTAACTAGATAAGGAACCAACTAGTATACATGAATTCTTCCCGGTAGAGTCCTTTGTCCAAACGATTAACAAGTCCTCTATTGTTCTAAGCAATCTCAACCGATCAACTTCCAAGTCAGGATCTCTAGAAAATTGGATGTGAAGACCAAAACTGTGTGGCTCCAGGTTTGATTGCAGATTAATGTCGATCTATGAAGTTGCTTTGACATCGATAACCCAACTTAGCCGGTTTTACAGTAAGATTTTAAGAAATCTTTTCTATATCATTGTTGTCATGCCTCCTCCTTGCAGCGAATCGTTGAATAAATACATTTGCAGGCACTTTGCATGGCAGGAAAAACGCTATCATAAGCAAGGAGCTATAACTTATCAATGACAAGTATAGACAATCCCCTTGACCAATTTTCGTAGCGATATTCTTTCACCCCAAAATTCCATTCCGTTTGGCACATTTTCCCATCCACATCTCTCTGAGCTAGTACAGGACGAAAGAGAGATTTAAGATAAAATTTAGCATTTGCCTTAATCACTTTAATGAGTTGTAGCTCGGTGTAAGGATAACGCGTCTCCCTAGCGATCAAGGCAAAACGTCCGGCAATGTATTAAGCCAAAGATAAGAAGCTAGAAATTACTATGGTTACTATGTCAGACGCAGTACTCTATAAGCAGGACTAAGTTGTGAAAACGAGATCAAACAAAGTAAAAAAATATAAAGCAGGAGACTGCAACAAAACATAAGGCCACAACATCCTAATCTTAATAACTAACTCTAAAAAGAGTCTGACTTGAAGCTGTTAAACTAGTCTTTAAAGACCTGACCACAGAACTTTTCGCTTATTAGGCCAAAATAAGGGCATCTTGCCAACAGCAACAGGGAGTGTGTTAACCTCTAAGCTCATAGGTTCATAATTTAAATATCGCCATTTAACCCAAGATGATAATGGTCTTAGAAATTACATCGCATACTGAAATTGGACGCAAAATTAAAATCTCTTCAATTAATTTTAGGCATAAAAAATAAAGAAAGTTCAGTTAACAAGATGGCAGTGAACGTGTAAATTGTTCCACTTGTTGTTGATGACATAATAGCCTAAGATAATGACCGCTTAAGGACAGCACGTGTTTTATGAGCCAGACCAAAAGTTTTGTTGATATTTTTGTAGCTACTTGAAACAAACTAGGTGTTCCTGCGAAAATATATTAACTAGAATGTTTATTTTGGCATATTCATGGATATTGCCACCTTTAATTTAAGATGTGTAGATAACGCAAGTAAATGTGATGATGAAGAAAGCGAGTCCAGCATAGATACCACGCCAATTAATTAATTAATTATCTTTTTAAGCAACACAAGATGAATATACGCGGGTCAGCACCATACGATCCTCAGCTTCATATCTCAAACAGAAGGAATTTTCCTGGAAAATGATTTTTAAACAGAATTTTGGCTAATTCTATGTAGCTGCAAATATTTCTTATACAAGTTTCGTAGCGAGAGGATGCAAGCATTCTGTTTGCTTTAATCTATTTTTATGGCCTTTAATAAAAGAAAAATGGATTTGATCCATACATTGAGGTAAGGCCATCTTCCTATAAGATATATAATCGTTTTTAAGTTAGAGCAAGAAATCGATTGAACTCACCTTACTGTCTCCTACAGAAAGCTCCCCTCATCGATACACAAATTACAAGGCATATTCACTATGTCTAAATTAACTCAACTCAACTCAATTATTTGCAGTAACCCAGCCCAACACATTATGATTAGACTAGTAAGGCGCAGCCCCTATCTCCCAACAACTTTTTCTTTCGCACACAGGAAAAGTATAAACAACTGTCATCCTCGCCAGTCGAACCTGAACCACTCACATCCTGTCCTTTTCCACAAAACCGAGTCAACCGTCCAATAAAAACCCGAAGCTAACCTCAACATCCCGAAAAGTATCCATTTGGAAAAACTCTTATATGGAGTAATTTTGTTAATGCCTTCGGGCCATGCGACTGTATCTGCTGAAATTGTTGGACCCCAACGTAAGGAAGATCATGAGCATATTCATATTGAACAAGTTTTAATACTAACAATAGATCAAGGCTGTACCTGACTTTAGTTTCGACCTCGTTTGCGCCTAATCAACACAGACACATAGAATCTGGTAATGCAGTGTTTATTTTCGAGATGGATGTCAATGGGCCAGAGAGCAGACGTGATTTCCTAAGCAAACCCGTCCCCTTTCATGCCATACTTAATACCACATTTGTCTAAACAAAATAACTATAAACTGTGACGTGTGAGAGCCCAGGCTTGCATTGAAATTTACGCCCATACCTTAAACTATTTGCACTCTTGGCGATATGACGTAGTGGTATCGTCAAAAAGATACGCTCCATCACTTGGTTCGACTCCTCTTGATGGTCCAGCAGGAACGTTATCGCAAGGCCTACTCGTGTGATTGCAGAAAAAATTAAACTATCTTCATTCAGCACCTTATGTGACTTAGGTTCAATACATTAACTCTAACGTTTATCATTAGCAGATACCCTGTATAAATACAAATATACGGATCACAAGATGAATATTATTAAAATAAGAGGTAAAAAAAGGTGCGCAGAAAATGATATTCCTAAGCTTCGAGTTGACTCCTGAACTAAGACTGATATTAATAAAACAGAATATCCAGATGAGCATTCTTTACAAGCTTACCCGAACAACATAAGGTAGGCGAAGTGGATTTCTCAGGAGATAAATGTGTGGGATTCTACGACTCAAAAATTATATTGTCGAAACAAGTATAAGTCAGCGTATGAATAAGGGAATACCAAGCTCTACTAAAATATATATATGAAG